GTGATGTGTTGGTGTGTGTGGTACGTGGGCATGTGCATGTGCCGTGTGTGTTATGTTGTGTTGAGCACACCTGCTGCAACGAGCGTGCATGGTTTTATGTATGTGTGCTGTGTGTGGTGCTGTGTGTGTATGCTGTGTGTGTCGTGTGTGTGTGCTCGTGTCACCTCTGATGTGTGTGTGGTATTCCTGTGTGTGTGTGTGTGTGTTGTGTGTGTGTGTGTGTGTGTGTGTGTGGTATGTGTGTGTGTATGTGGTGTGTGTGTGTGTGTGTGTGTGTGTGTGTGTGTGTGTGTGTGTGTGTGTGCATGTGTGGCATGTTGTGTGTGATGTGTCGTGTGTTGCGTGTGTGATGTGTGTGTGTATGTGTGTGTAGTGTGTGCATGTGTGCATGTGTGATTGTGTGTGTGTGGTGTGTGTGTGTGTAGTGTGTGTGTGTGTGTTGTGTGTGTGTGTGTGTGTGTGTTGTGTGTGTGCTGTGTGTGTCTGTGTGTGTGATGTGGTGTATAATGTATATATATATATCTATATATATATAAATATATATATATATATATAATATAATATTATATATATATATATATATATATATATATATATATATATAATTATATATATATATATACATATAATATATATATATTTATATATACATATATATATATATATATATATATATAATATATATATATATATTTATATATATATATATATATATAATATATATATATATATATATATAATATATATAATATATTATATTTATTATATATATATATATATATAGTTATATATTTATATAAATAATATATAGTATATTATACACAACACATATAAATATACAAGTTATAGTTCTTTTTTTTCCTTCTTTTCTTGACAATATTCATATTAGCTTTTGTGTTAAAAATTTTTTTCCGTTGTTCTGTGTGTCTACTAAGGGTAAAAACCCTATCAGTGAAGCAGGATTTTGCAAATTTGGAATACAATTAATATAGTACTTACTTTGGACTTGGAAGGTGAACCTTTCATTCGCGGTGTTGTTGAGTCCTGACTCCCCACAATTTCAAAGCTTTCATCAGGAGGGGTCACTTGCTCTGAGCGTGACATTTTACGCACTACCTGAAAATCATAATTGACATCAAATAGTTTGATCTCTCTACCTCTTGGCCACGATAGCAATCTTTATTAAACCATCAAATGCTCGTTTCACTCTTTGTATGCCAAGTAGCCATTTTTTATTATTATTCTTTAAAGCATTATCATTATCATCACCATCTTCCTCATTTATGTGACTTACTTCAGTGAATGTGAATCATCAAATCCACTCCTCATCCGGCGCTGGATAGACGGGGTCTTTTCAGGTCTGCAGGTGCTGGGCTCTCTGCTATTAAACGATGCAATGCACTATTTTTCACATCTCCTAATAAAAAAGCAAAGAAAAAAATGGATTTAAAATAAAAGTATTCTTTGGTCACTTTTTTCTTTGCACTGTAAAGTTGTACCTAGCAATAAATCTATCTAATAGTACTTGCAATAACCACTATACTAATTTACAATTTCTACTCTTCTACTACATAATCTTTGGGAATCTGAAAGGTTAACATATGCACCCTTAATATTATTCAAACATTCTTCTGAAGAGAGAAAACTCACGCCACAGAATTAATGCCTAGACTCATAGGAAAGAGATACTATGAGATATATAATACTACATTTTGAAGTCAAAATCTTGAGTCTCTTCCTGTCTATCCTGTATAAAACTATCATACTTCAAGTTTCAATAGTAATAGGATTACAATGAAACCAGCGCAGTCTGATAACGATATGTGTCATAAGAAGTATAAACCATGACCATACCTTTCCAAAAGTGTAATTCTGCACTTACATCAATTGATAACATTTTACTCGTTCAGGAAAAAAATAACCAACCACATATAAACCTCTCTCTTGATTGCATCCTCTTTTTATGTATGTAGATGTGTATGAGAGGGATATTCATGATTTTCATGCTAGTTCCTAGTTTTAGATTAGGAGAAGAAGAAGAAGGAGGAGGAGGAGAAGAAGAAGAAAAAGGAGAAAAAAGGAGAAGGAGAAGAACGAGAAGAAAGAAAGAAAGGAGGAGAGAGGAGGAGGAGGAGGGAGGAGGAGGAGGAGGAGGAGGAGGAGGAGGTGGAGGAGGGAGGAGGAGAGGAGGAGGAGGAGGAGGAGGTGGAGGAGGAGGAGGAGGAGGAGGAGGAGGGAGGAGGAGGAGGGAGGGGAGGAGGAGGGGGAGGGGGAGGTGGAGGTGGAGGTGGAGGAGGAAGAGGAGGAGGAGGAGGGAGGAGGAGGAGGAGAGGAGGAGGAGGAGGAGGAGGAGGAGGAGGAGGAGGAGGAGGAGGGAGGAGGAGGAGGAAGCGGCAGCAGCAGCAGAAGAAGCAGAAGACGAAGAAGAGAGAGGAGAGAAGGAGAAGAAAAGGAGAAGAGAAGGAAAAGGAGAAGGAAAATGAATGAGAGATGAAGAAGAAGAAGAAGAAGAAAAGAAGAAGAAGAAGAAGAAGAAGAAAGAAAAGAAAGAGAAGAAGAAGAAGAAGAAGAAGAAGAAAAAGAAGAAGAAGAAGAAGAAGAAGAAGAAGAAGAAGAAGGAGGAGAAGGAGAAGAAAGAAGAAAAAGAAGAAGAAAGAGGAGGAGGAGGAGAAGTAAAAAAAAAAAAAAAAAAAAAAAAAAGAGGCCAACTCAAACAATTTTATCTCTAAATTCCCATCTACCACAAATCTGCCAAAAACACAAACCCGAGAGCCACAACGGCTAGATATATAACTACCAAAGCACACTGAGCACACCTCGTGCCATGGGGACTGCATCACCTCTATTGCCACTCGCTGATGAATGGTGATACTGCATATGGCGAGTGTACATCATCTCTATATCAAAATGGGAACCCTTTGACTAAGGCTTTAAAAAACAAGCAAGATTTGTATTTTGAATCTAAACTTTAGTTTTGTTTTTCCAGTGTAATATCTATGTCTGGGAATCATGGTTTAGAGCGAGGTGGACCCTACCTACTGACCCACCTCCAGGGGAGTCTGTCAGCTGAACCAAAGATTCCTTTTTGGGAGGGGGAGGGGGCTTAGGAAAAAAAAAAAAAAAAAACACTGACATCTTTGCTTTAACTCTTTTCATTATTTCTTAAAAAACAACATCAAGGAGAATCCAAACACCATACTGTAATTTGAGAAAGAAGAAACAAAGACACTTTTCTTACTTCCCTTGCAGCTCAGGCTCTTTACTTTGAAGCAGAAGTACTTTGAGTAAACATCACCCAAGAAAATATTTCATAAATGGGTCTACAAAAACTGTGACTATAAAATGCTGACATACATACCTGAAGGAGATACAATGGCCTGTTGCAATGCCTCCATCTTCTTCATTAGGCTTTTATTTTCCTTCTCAAGAGACATAACATCATCTTGGAGGTTTTTATTTGTCTGTTGTACAGTAGTCTGTAAAAGCAAGCATATGAATTTTTAATGATTAACCTACTGGCAATGGATCCATGTACTGTCCAGTGTAGTTTTTGTGAAATTTGTTGCACAGAGATAGCTTCACAAGTGCTTAGCAACCAAGGAGTCAATTAGTAGACCATAGTGATTCCATCTGAGTTCACCATTCCTTGAATTTATGGGAAAATGTGTTTTTCTCATATTTTATTAATATCGACAAATTATTTTCATTGACATGATGATTATCATACTGTTATAAGAATACTAATAATAAAATTAATAAAACTACATAAAATATTTTTTTCCAAAAAACAATGAGACAGATATTACTAATTATTGACTCCTTATGTTGTGGAGCCATTGCTGTGCAAACAATTAATAAACTAAAATAACAGTATACAGGGCATGTACCCTAATAATGAAGAATTATTTACAGAAAACTGCTAATCAACTCAAGAACACTTCTCTAAAATAATCATTTAAAACAAACATAGCAAACAAAATAACTTAAAAAAGAAAATTAATGACACAGAAATTAAAAAAAGAAAAAAATGGACAACAACAATAGTAAAGAAATACTTGAATATTTTCTTCCAATTGTGCATATTCAATACAAGGATTTTCATTTGCCTTTTAACCTATACACTGGTTACCTTATTTCCTCAATGCTTAGAGGACATTATTAACAATGTAATAGAATTACATGGTACTGTGCATACTGAATCCATAAGACACAAGAACACTAGGTGCATATGAATGCACATTAACACCCATGAAAAATTATACACTAAACAAATTTAACACAAAAAAATGAAGTCAATCTGTAATGGAACATTACATTTAGTATATGAAGTAAATGGTTAAGTCTTGTCTTTATAATCGCATACTTTTATGTTATACTTAGCAAACAATTTGAAGTTTATATCTTGTATCTCTGAGTTTTATATATATATTCCCAGATCATGCCCAGACATAGCCACACTTTTCTATTGTAAAATAGTCTTAATGTACTCCAAACCTAGGGTTATTTTTCAGGATAATTACATACTGGTGCTGAAAAACACCACCTTGGTAGATGCTTTTAAATTCACATACAAACAAGCAATATTAAATTGACTGACCATGTAATAAGCAACACATACTATACAAATACACATATAGTACAAACACATTGCTCTTACTGTTCTTATCACTAACACTAGGTTTGCTGTGGTTTGACACAAAGCAGAATAACATGACAATACAAGTTAGACAAAAGCACTTTATGGCTAGTAAGACAAAGCAAGAATATATTGATGCACCTAGTGCAGACAAAGACTGTATAATCAAGCATGGCAGATCATGTCAGATTTTTGTTAAAGACTAAATCAATTATCAATCAACTGTATGCCTGCAATGTAGAATACACATACAAAAATGTTACTGCTGTTTTCATTGGTGCTGTTTTGCTCCATATGGCAACCATGATGCACTTGAGGGTGCTATTTTCAAGAGAGAAGTAATGCTTAAGGGGAAGCTCACCCTCTAATACAGGGGGGGGGGGCAGAGGGTGGCAGCAGAGGAGGAGGAGGAGGGAGAGGAGGAGGAGGAGGAGGAGGAGGAGGAGGAGGAGGAGGAGGAGGAGGAGGGAGGAGGAGGAGGAGGAGGAGGAGGAGGAGGAGGAGAGGAGGAGGAGGAGGAGGAGGAGGAGGAGGAGGAGGAGAGAGAAGAAGAAGAGAAGAAGAAGAAGAAGAAGAAGAAGAAGAAGAAGAAGAAGGAAGGAGGAGGAGGAGGAGAGAGGAGGAGAAGGAGGAGGGAGGAGGAGGAGGAGGAGGAGGAGGAGGAGGAGGAGGAGGAGGAGGAGGGAGGGAGGAGGAGAAGGAGAAGGAGAGGAGAGAGGAGAAGGAGAAGGAGAAGGAGAAAGGAGAAGGAGAAGGAGAAGGAGAAGGAGAAGGAAAAGGAGAAGAGAAGGAGAAGGAGAAGAAGAAGAAGAAAGAAGAAAGAAGAAGAGAAGAAGAGAAGAAGAAAGAAGAAGAAGAGAAGAAGAAGAAGAAGAAGAGAAGATGAAGATGAAGATGAAGATGAAGATGAAGATGAAGAAGAAGAAGAAGATGAAGATGAAGATGAAGATGAAGATGAAGATGAAGATGAAGATGAAGATGAAGAGAAGAAGAAGAAGAAGAAGAAGAATGAAGAAGAAGGAGAAGAGAAGGAGAAAGGACAAGAAAGAAGGAGAAGAAGAAGGGAGAAGAAGAAAAGAAGAAGAAAGAAGAAGAAGAAGAAGTAGTAGTAGAAGTAGAAGAAGAAGAAAGGAGAGAAGAAGGAGAGAAAACGAAGGAGGAGGAGAAGAAGAAGAAGAAGAAGAAGAAGAAGAAGAAGAAGAAGAAGAAGAAGAAAGAAGAAGAAGAAGAAGAAGAAGAAGAAGAAGAGAAAGAAGAAGAAGAAGAAAGAAGAAGAAGAAGAAGAAGAAGAAGAAGGAGAAGGAGAAGAAGGAGAAGGAGAAGGAGAAGAAGGAGAAGGAGAAGGAGAAGGAGAAGGAGAAGGAGAAGGAGAAGGAGAAGGAGAAGGAGAAGGAGAAGGAGAAGGAGAAGGAGAAGGAGAAGGAGAAGAAGAAGAAGAAGAAGAAGAAGAAGAAGAAGAAGAAGAAGAAGAAGAAGAAGAAGAAGAAGAAGAAGAAGAAGAAGAAGAAGAAGAAGAACAACAACAACAACAACAACAACAACAACAACAACAACAACAACAAGAAAGAAAGAAAGAAATGCAGATATGAGCATTTTCAAGAAGTAAATCTAACCAGAAATGTTATGAGAGTAATATTGGAACATTCTAACTTGCAATAATAGTTTAAGGGACACTAAATGGTTAAAAGGACATTAACATTTAAAGTGTGATTTTTTTTTTTCAAGTTGCAAAAGAAATGCTCATGTATATCATATATCATATCATTACTAGCAGATTTATAGTGTAGATTTCTTCATGTGTTAAAGTGAAAAACTTACGTGTCTGGGAAAAGTTTACAATGAAAATTGCTATCAGCCTAACATCATGTACAACATACATTTAGTGACCTTGACATTTCATGGCATAGAAGAAAATTTACAAATTTGAATCTACAAAATAGCTGGTGTCTACATAGTAAAAATCTGGATACTCTTGAACAAATATTAATTTTGCAGAAGGGCATGGCAGAGGAGGAGGAGGGGGATATACACAACAACAACAATAGTAATTAAAAATTAAAAAAGAAAAGAAAAGAAAAAATAATAATAACAATAATATTTGTAGCAATGACAATAACAATAACAATAATAATTATTATAATAATAATAATTATTATTATCCTCATATTAATTATAACAATAATAATGATAACAATAACAAGAGAAAAGGAATTAAAAAGGAAGACCAAAAAATATGAAACAAAAGATGAGGAAACAAAAATGAAGGGGGCAGATAAAACTGATACTTGCCAGCTCATTTGAAGCAATGTTATAGCTGTGTTTGACCTCTCTCAGCTTGTTTCGTAGTGATGTAGCTTCATCCCGGAACCTCCTCTTGTCATCAACTGTCTTGTTCATTTCCCTGTTAAATGCATCATGTAAAAAGGAAAATAATTTACACAAACAATCAATATTCCTCCATTGGAAGAATACAAAAATACTGCTTTGAACCACAAACCTCAAGCACATCTGTCCACCTAGCCACAAGGTTCAATTTTTCAAGTTTCATTCAGACAAATTTCAGCTCCAGGCATTTTAAGTTTCATTTTGCCCAAAAGAATGTATACTTCATTACCACATATCATATATGAACTTATCAATTCAAATGTTACAAAAACAAAAGCAGAAAAATAAAATCCCTTTTCTATCATGGAAAATAATATAATTAAACATAATAACATAATAAAAAGATAATCATGTACTGGTTGGTGACTTTGTGATACACAGCAGTGTGATGTGGAGTAGGGGAAAGTGGAGGTGCTAAAGATAAGAGGTTTAACTGAATGAAATATGCCATAACAGCATGCACTAAAACTAATATTCTACATTCACTACATTCCATTCACATGAGAAGGGTAGGGAACATGACATGCTCATTGTAGAAGGGGGGGGGGGTGGCTACAAGAAGAATGGGAGTATGGGATGATACCGTGGATGCGGCTGGGGAAAAATACCAAACAGTACCAATAACATTAGTTGACAGTACAATCATTTGACTAAAATTTAAAATACTCAGAAAAAAAATACCAGTCTTTGACAGGTTACATATAATTGTCAGAACTCGGCCAGCTAAAATTATGGGTTAGGCAGAAGAAAAAGAACAAGAAACTACACAGAAGGAAAACTCACTTTTTCAGTATGGAACAAAAGGTGGCCAAGGCTCTTGTGCTGTCTGGGTTGTTGGAATATGACACCAGCATTGCTTCCACATCATCATTGGTGCCTGAAACTATGCTCTCCACACTTTGGAGAGCCAAGAATAACTTTATTCCATCACAACTTTTTTTCTCATGAAATTCTATGCTTTTTATCAAATTCTTACTAAAATCAATTTAACTAATGCATCTCTATAAACCACGGAACCACGTTAATTGCCAATAAATGAAATGCACTGCTTGCCAGATGAATTAGAAATGAAGCAAAAATTGTCTTTTGTCATAAAAATCAAAATCATTAGCTTTAAAAAAATATTGGCATTCTTTATCAACTATGTCTCTAAAGTAAAGCAAGTATGGTTATATAATTATAGATTAAAGCAAAATATTTCACTAATTCTGGAATAAAGAAGTAGAGTAAACATATTTGACAAATAGTGATAAGACATAATGCCTATATGGGTTTTGCCATTATGGAACACAAGGTGGCCAAAGCTCTTGTGCTGTCTGGGATGCTGGAATGAGACATCAGCATTGCTTCCACATCATCATTGGTGCTTGAAACTATGCTCTCCACACTACAGTACATGAAGCAGAGACTGACACAACCATGTTTTGCAACATACTGCACGTATATTAACATATATATATATACATATATATAAATATATAAATAATAATATATATATATAGTATACTATATATAAATATATATTAAAAAATTATATTTTAAAAAATTATACATTTTTAGTTATATAGTATATATAGTAGTACTATGATAAAATATATATAATTTACTATACTACTATACATTAATCGTAGGATATATTAAGTAAAGATATACTAGTATATACATAATAGTAGTCCCTAATAAATACTTCATCATTAGATATATATATAATGAGTATACAGTGTGTGTTGAATATATATATTGTGGCTATTATTAGCGCGTAAGTAACATAATATACTATATATATGTATAGTATCGGGGGGTTTAACCCATTATATTTGTAATAGGTGTAATAAGTCTAGCGTGTATAGACTGTCAGCGATATGAGTATAGGAGTATATAATGTGATGTAGGGTATTATATATCTCACATATTTCATGTAAAGCATTATAACTAATACATTGTCACTACTTGGAACTATATACTCTATATATAGTTGCGGATGCAATATATACTGTTATATATATTAACATATGGCATATATGTATAGGTGATACTTATATATATATGTATTATGGTATGTACGTATAGCCCTCCGAACTTCGTCATATACTATCATAAAGTCCTAATATACTAACAGCTAGTATAATAATAATAAAAGTATAGGATAATATCTTTATAATCACTAGTATATAAGTTATATTTAATAAGTGTCATCCAATGAGTACGCCGAGTATTTATGCAGTATGATAAATCGGTCATTATTATAATGAATTAATATATATCCAGTGGTAATTTCATATTTGGTTAGGGTATTATGTATTATAAGTTTTATATATATTTCATATAATATCCATAGTATAAGTTATATATATGAAGCTGCATAATAGATTAGATATTATTCAGTTCCATATATTATTACTATATTACCTGAAGTGATTAATATATAAAACACGGTATTATAAATTAGTATCCTACTTAAGAATATACTACTATATATACAAATACTGATAGTATACTAGTCCACTAGTAACGTATACTCTTATATTAATCTCCTACTCTATAATATTATATCACTATATTAACCTTCCGATACATATATATTATATATATCCCAGGCCCATCATTATATATTTTAACGTAATTATTCACTCTACATAGTATATATACAGCTATAATAATTATAATAACAACCTATAGGTACTAAAGATAAATTGATAATAATAACTCGATGCATCCCTAAAAGAATAAACCTACAGAAATAAAGTTGAGTATAAATTGTCTACTTATTAATTTTTAGCTACGCGATAATGACTAATATCATAAAGATTAATGATCGTATATTATATATACGTCTAGGCGATATAGTAAATATTTTGGTTTGATAACGTGATATCTATATATATAGATTATATACTACTTCACATCAGGATATACTAATCATATTCAATAGATCATCGAATCTCACCATTTATATAACGCATATTTAACAACTAATTAACTACTATTATAAAATAAAATTTGATCATAATCTATAATATAAACAAACAGGTATATATTATACTATACTACTCATGGTATGTATATCCTAAAATGTGATATCTAAAATGTTAATGTAATCTATGTAAATGTATAATCTATTGTATGGTATGTAATATTACTAATGGTATATGTCGTATATGTATAATGTATGTATATTGTATTATGTATATTATGTATGTATGTTATACTGTATGTATGTATTGTTAGATGCTTATATGGTATTGGTTTTATGTTAATGTATATGCCATGATAATGTATTATCTGTATGTATTTTATCTCATATTAGCATACCTTGTATATGTTATGAATGTGATGGTATGGTACGGATTTATAGTTTATGTATGATATTATGTATGTATGTATAGTGTATGTTGTATGTATGTGGCGTATGTGTATGTACTGTGTATGGTATTATACCTGTATTCTCATGTATCATGTATGTATGCGTTATGTAATATGTATTGTTATTGTATATTCTGTATTTGTACTGTTAGTACTGTTATGATATATGTATGTATGTATGTTAATGTATCATGTACGCTTGGGGTGTGGTTGGGTGGGGGCTGCTATGTTATGTTAATGCTATAGTATGTAATGTATGTAGTCGTATTATGTTATGTATTACTGTATCGTCATCTATAGTGTATGCTATGTATGCTATGTATATCAAGTATGGTATGTATAACTAGTCATAAGGATCTGTATCACTAATAGTATGTATAGTATCCGTATGTAATGGTAGTGTATGTATATGCCGTATGTATGTTAGTGTGTATGCGTATGTATATAACTGTATAAATGTATGCATGTATTGTATAACTGTATGTAGTATGTATATGTATGTATGTATATGACATGTATGTATAGTCTAGTGTATGTATGTAATGTATTATACTGTATCTGGACCTATGTATGGGTATAGTGTATGTTGTATGTATATATGTGTAATATGTTATATATTGTATCATGTATGTATATTGTATGTATGTATATTGTATGTATGTATGTATACTGTTAGGTGGTATGTATCGTATATGTTATGTATGTATATTGTATGTATTATGTATAATGCATGAATGCCCATTGTGTATGTCTGCCATGGTATGTATATCTCCTATGTCATGGATTTCATTGTTTTTTCCAGTATATGTTTTGTTCAGAATAGTGTGGAACCCATTGTGGTATTGTGAGCTTCCAGCATTTATTTTTTTTGTTTCCTTCCCAATTTTGAGTTCTGATAATGGTAAGACAAAGATAATCAGAGAAAGATATTCTCTCCATGTCTTTTGTTCTGCTAAGCTTTCTTATTCTTCTTTCTTTTTCCGTTTTCCTCGTGTATACTGTAATAATGATCCAGTAATAATGTAAGATAAAGGTAATGTTATTATTGTCTATGTCCTTAATTATATAATGTACTCTATCTGTATCCAACATATGTATATTGTTTAATCTATGTTATAGTTGTAAAGTATATGTTTATGTAGTATTTTTATATTGTTATTTGTATTTATTCGTATGTTTATATGTTTATGTAATTTATGTATGTATGTAGTATTATGCATGTAGGTAATATTTATTTCTTGATTGTTATGATATTTGTTATTATGTCATTACCATTGTATTAATTATTGTGGAATCCTTGTAAGTATGATACTACTAACTTACTGATACTACATATATATATATATATAATGTATATATTGTATGTTTATGTATGATATGTAAATTATGTATGAAATATGTTGATGCGTATCATTTTATATAATAATATATTAATAAGATAACAATATAGCCTATAGTTATTTACTGTATTATATTGTACATATAATAAATACCCATGGAGCAGTTTAAATATGAGTATATATATACTTATACTTTATATAATAGAGGATAAATAAATGTAATATATAATTACATATAAGAGATAGTATAATAATATATATAATATACATAGTATATATATTATAATTTATATTTATAATATTTAATATTTATAATATATATACATATCCTATATATAATATTATATAGAAGTATAATATAAAAATATAATAATCCCATAAATATAAAACCTATATAGTAGTTTTGATTATTATTAATAATGATAATTTATTTAATATTATATATATTATATAATACTCCATGATATAATTATCATCCTATATATACATGAGTACATGTATAATATTATACATATTACTACCCATAATTATACCACCCATATATCTTTACCACTTATTCACAGCCCATTAAATAGCCAATACCTACTCAATTATTATATGATTACATAAATATAATGTGATAATATACTATGTATATATATTTATATATCTATATTAAATTATATTACCTTACAATATACTATAATATTATCTCGTTATATCTACTTGTATTAATATATTCACTAAATACTTATTGCTCTGGGTGATGTGTTGTGTGTGTAATGAGTGTGTGTATATTATCTATCTATCTATCTATTCTATTCCTATCCTATCTCTATCCTATCCTATCTCATCTATATATATAATAAATATATCATTACTTCACTAAGTAGTAGATATCTAGCTTATATATATAGTCATATAGTGCTTAACATGATTAGTTGTTTCTCATTGCTAGTTATATCATATAATATAGTCATAATAGGACGTATAATATATATATTATAGAGTATTATTTTATTAGCACCTATACGTGTGATCATATAAATATTATAAGAGTATAGTCATATAATATATAATATATAATCTATATGCATAGAATTATATATCAATATCATATAATTCATATATTATATATATATATATAATTGAGCCAATACTATACTATATTATTATATATAATAAATTTATAAGAGATATATATATAATCTATAT